AAAAAAGAAAAAAAGAAGGTCCTTTGTGAGATGTCTGGCCCAAGCTGTGGATGTCATACACCCTGATGTCAATGGTGCACATAGTGAAATCACAGATGTCCATCTTCACTTTGCTCAAAGGCCCTGCCTAAGTCAAAACTACATAAGAAGGATCTGCTTAATGCAATTTCCTATCAAAAGCGCTGTCCTGAGGCATTAATATTAGGAGGCATGTTCTAGTGATCTAGAACAATAAGCAGCCCTCTGGGAACATCCCCACATTCCACAGAGCTAATATCCCAGAATAATGGCTGACCACCAAACAAAAGCCAGTGTACATATGACCACCTGCCTGCCTGAGCAGGGATAGCCATGGATTTCCTGGGACACAACAGACTGCATAAGGCAGGATTGGCTGTACCTTCCAAAGGAAAGCACTCCCTCTGTGACAAGCTCAGGTACCACAGTGACATTGGGAGGAAAGTTGCAGGTGAGTAGAGGCAGGCTGGGTTATCGCCACATTGCACTAATATGCAGCGGCTAAAAGTATGAAGCAAAAATGGAGAGAGGAAGGTGGGTATGAGTCTGGTGGGTATTGGTCAAATTAGTCTGGAATGGACACAGACACAGACCCACGCACACTGTCATGCTGCCTAGAACCTTAACTGTCTAGAGTCAGAGCAGCCATGTGAGAGTCACACACCCTACAGGGCTACTGGGCAACTGACAATCGCCCTGGGAGGCAGCATTATGTCCCCACTGCAGTGCTGTGTAAACAGGAAGGTGACTCTCAGAATGAATTCTATCACATGTCCAAAGGTATCAGAAAGCTTCCAGTCATAAAACTGCATCTCTGAGCCCAAGACCCTACTCTCCCACATTATCAGGTACGCCAATGAGCACCCTGCATGGAGGAATCATCCCTCTGAGGCAAATGCCACAACACCCTGCCCCAGGATCTGCCGCCTGCAGGAAACATGAGCACACCAAACCCACCATTAGCTGGTGGACAGAATTCCAGTCTAAGGCATCATCCCCGAATTCCAAGGCTGTGGGGCTTGCAGACATTTGCAAGGGTAGTGGCAGCAGCCCGGCTTGCTGGTGAACACACCTGAGCATGTTCCCCATTCCACCAGGAATCTAGCCTTCAGATCCCTCCTCCTCACTAGTGAGCCCTCTGGGGCAGACCTAAGTAAGCAGCTTGACATGTCTGCTTTTGGTAAATGGACTTACTGCCCTGGGAAATGCACTAAAATTTAGTGATGTATAAATAGCAGGTGGTCTATATTAAAGTTGAACTATAAATAATAAAATAGGCACGAGGAAGAAAAATACAGATGTTTAAGACAGAGGCTCAAGTTCAAATCCTCTTCGTCACTGGCTTACTTCAGTGAGTCAGGCTGGTTGCTACAAAAACAAAACAAATGGAAAATAGCAAGAGCTGTCAATTATGTGGAGTGGTGGAGCCCTTGTGCACTAGAGGTGAAAATGTAACATGTCACATTCACTAGAGAACCTCGTATGGAGTCCTCAAGCAATTCAACACAGGATTAGCCAGATAGCTCAGTGGATTAAAGGGCCTCGTGCCAGTCCCACCCCTGGGGCACACTGAGAAGGGTGGTGACATGCTCCTGCAACCACTGCACTAGGGAGGCTGAAAACAGGAGGATCACTACAAGTCTGATCTGTGTAGTGAGACCCTGTACTAAATACATTAAAAAATGAAAAAGAAATTCAACACAGAATTAGAGAATAATTTAGCAATCTCACACTGGGAAACTCAAAGCCTATTTTATTTGAGTGCTTACGTTCATAGCAGCATTGCTTGTAAGAGCCAAAAGATGTCCATCAATAAAATGTGGGGGTCGGTGAGGTAGCTCAGCAGTCTAAAACGCCTGCTTAGGCAAGCTTAGGCAAGTGCAGGGACCTCGGTTTGATCCCCGGCACCACATGCTGTGCCAGCCCTGCCCCTAGGGCAGGCTGAGCCAAAAGAGGGGTGGAATAATTATTAAACCTTAAAAAAAATTCTGACACATGATATCATATGGATGAACTTTGTGGACAATATACTATGTAAAATAAGCCAGTCACAAAATTCCACTCATTTGATATCTTTAGAACCATCAGATTCATACACACAGAAAGTAAGAGTGGAGCCAGTGGTTGGGGGAAGAGAATACCACAGCCTCTATTTAAAAAACAAAGTTTCTTCTGCAAGATGAAGGATGGTGGTGACTCCTACAGCAATGTGGATGAGCTTATATTACTGAGTTGTACATGTAAAGACAGTTAAGATGATAAACTTTGCCAGGTGTAGTGGCCCATGCTGGTAATCCCAGCACTCTGGGAGGCTGAAGCAGGAGGAATGCACGTTGGAGCTCTGCCTGGGCAACTTAATCATTTAGTGTGACCTTGTCTCAAAATTAAAAGACAAACTTTTGGGCCAGGGATATGGCCTGGCAAGTGCCAAGAGTTCTTCCCCTGAGTTCTTCCTGATAACAAAAAATAAAAATTAAAAAACAAAAATTTTAAAAGAGGGTTAGGAGGTGGGGATATAGCTCAGTGCAAAGGTCTGTGGTTTAATCCCCAGTACTGAAAAAGAAAGAAAAAAAACAAAACAAAACAAAAAACCATAAATTTTATGTTATCTTTTCAACATAGTTTAAAGAAACCAAAACAGGTGTATGGCGTACAACTATAATCCCAGCATCTGGGAGGCTAAGGCAGGAGGATCACTGTGAGTTCAAGGCCAGCCTGGACTACATAGGGAGACTATCTAAAACAACAACCCACAAAGTCAGGTCTAAAAGAATCTCTCATTCCGTGTTGCAGCGCTGAGACAAAATACATTTTTGTTTAAAAATGATAGACTTTCATAAATGGTTTTTGTGGGCTTTTTGGTTTACTTTTTTAAAATTCTCTTAAAAAAAAATGGTGTTTGTGAAGCCCATTTCGAAACCGAGCCTGAATAAATTCCAGAATCACAGCCACAGGATGAAGCCCAGCTACACTTGCATTCCTAGAGCTACAACTCTGACTTCTGGTATCCTTTCAACCCAAGCAGAGCATGTGACCCGTCTTGCTGTGGGAGTTGGCCCCTAGCATCGGAGGGGAAGGCGCTGGACTCCCGACCTCACCCAGGGCCTGCAGGTGCAGAACAGCGCAGGCGCAGCTCACCCTTCAGACTTAGCCTCCGTGCTTCCTCGGCACCCCAGTCCAGATGGCAGGAGTGACCTCCCAGAGAGCATCCCGGCCCTCCACATTTCAGACACAATCACAGGCCCTACCGTAGCAGGTCCGTCCATCTCCGCGGAAGCCAATGGAGCATTCGCAGGTGAACGTCGTCCCTTGGCCAGGGCGACAGGCCGCATTGGTGTCACAGCCGTGAGTGCCGATGTAGCAAGGATTCTGCAGGGCATCGGGGGAGCCCTCTATGAAGACAGAAACGCGAGAAGTGAGTGTCCAGGTACTCCTGCAGGCCTCTTCCTCCCACCAAAAGCAAACCACAGGAGACAGAAAAGTGGGAGGCTACCCAACTACCTCTCCCGTCACCCTGGGGTGACACCAGTGAACAAGGCCTCTCTGCTCCCCTCTCCGTTCAGTAAATAATGTTTTACTGGCGACCAGCCACACTGCTCTGCTTCCGTGTGGTCTCCAGCTGCTTCCATGAGACCATGGCAGAACTGAGATGAAGGTGGCTGGCAAAGACTATAAAATCTGCCACCTGGTCCGTCTTGAAAAGCAAAGCTGATTGCTGAGCCCTGGAGCCACAGTGGTCAAAGGGGACAACCACACCTCCCTTCCTCCTGCCTGTCAGAGCTACAGTGAGGACAGACTGGCCAGTTGAGGAAGTACATGGTTAAGAAGGAGGAGCCAAAACAACTGAAAAATAGAAGACCCCGATTGTAAGGACTCCAGACATGTAGACAGAGAAAACGTAAGTCAGACGGTGACGTAGCCCAAAAGATCGATGTTACGGCTTGTGTCTAGACGTCCCCTCCAAACCTCATGCAGTCATGGGATCAGGGACTTTTCAGAGGGGGCTGGCTCTAGCGTATGGTGCTGGGATCAAGCATCTAAACTCTTATTTCACTGGGCTCTGTTGCACAATGGCCTTTTGCTATGTGCCTGCCGAGAAATTGATCTCTTTTTGTATGAATAACAGTGTTGATATGTATTTCCTGAAATAAGTGTTTCAAGTGCAAAAAATGGCTGTTTGATTACTAAATCTGTCTACTGATGGGTTTGGCACAGTTCTGGCTAGGATTAAGGGTGTGGCAGGTAAACTACGTAAAATAGAAGAGACAAAAAGAGGGCTAATATGGGCCAGGGAGATGACTCAGTAGAATAGGCGCTTCCCTGGCAAGCGCAAGGGCCTGAGTTCAATCCCTGGTTCCGCCAAAAAAAAAATAATAATAACAACAACAATTAAGGGCTGGTGAGATGGCTCAGTGGTCTAAAGTACCTACTTGGAACAAGCTTAGCAAAGCACAGGGACTGCTGTTTGATCCCCCAGCACCACATGCCAGCCAGCCCCACCCCTACGTGGGCTGAGCTGGCCACACACACACACACACACACACACAAAATAATAATTTTTTTTTTTTTAAAAAAAGAGGGCTAATATGGTCACATCTGCCTGCATGCTATAGACTTTCTCCTCGGTGATGCCTTTCTGCCATGTCGCCCTGCCTTAGAGTTAGCTGATTATGGACTTAAGCCACCATAACTGTCAGCTAAATAAAACTTTCCTCCTTTAACTTTGGGTGTTCGGTATTCTGTCTTGGCAATGAGAAAAAGTAACCAAGACACCAACTCCTCCCTTGAAATAATAAAGTGTGGTATACACATATAATGGAATATTATATAGACCCTTAAAAGAGTGAAATTCTGTCATTTGTGACAACATAAATGAGCCCAGAGGATGTTAAATGGAAGAAGACAGGCTCAGAAAAACCAATACCCTATAAACTGATCTCATCGAAATAGACAGTAGAACAGCAACTGCAGGGTAGGGGCAGGGTAGCAGGGACAGAGGACCGAGAGAGTAGTTCATGGGTGCAGAGGAAGAGGAGTAGCTGGACAGGAGGAGTGACCTCTAACATTCTATCACATAGTGGGGTAACTGTTTGGCAACAATTAGTTGGCTATTTCACAATAGAGGAGAAGATTTTGAATGTTCTCTTCACAGATGATAAATGTTTGCAGGACACCAATTACCCTGACCTAATCATTACATGCTGGATACACCTGTTGAAATTAATTACACTGCAGCCCATAAATATGTAATCGTTAATGCACCAATTAAAAATAAATTTTAAGAAGAGGTCTGCCAAAGCCAGCAGCAGCCTTTGGCTGGTCAACTCTGTAAGGTAACTCATGAGGCTAGCATTCTTCTCTTCTTCAAACAGGGTACAACCACCCTTCAGTTAGAACATAGACAGCTTGGTTTTTCAAGAATCACAAGTGGCAAGATATTTTTTTTTTCTTTAGAAGCTATTTTAGCATAATTTTCTTCTTTGGATAGAAAGAGCAACAAGGGCCCAAACTGCAAGTCAGAGAGCAGGATTTCTGAGTGAGTGGGGAGAGCT